CGTTAATATCTCCTTAACTATTGCTGACACCGCAAAATGGTACAGGACTTTTCGACTCAGTGTAGTCTGTTCTACCCACGCACGAAATATTTTGCGGTCGCTACCAGACACCCTGTATATACTAGGAACAGACCGATGTAAGTAATGTGTGCAAATGAACCGCTATTAATTGTCCCTTACCTGTGCCATATTCGAAGCATTTTCTGAAAGAAGGTTCCGTTCGGATAATTCGGACAACAACTCCTGTAGGTTTGTTATTCTTTTTTTTTGTCGATGTTGTTGCTTCTGTAGTCGTTTGACTATTTGTGTTTTTTGGTTGTAAGCGTCTTTTAATATACATACAGCTTTGATAAGCGATCTTGGTGACATTTGTAGTATATTTTCTTTAGTAATTTGAGCTGGATATCACAACTCAGTTTTTGTAGTCGCTACCAAAGCAGTGACAGATTCCATGTCAATAATAACATCATTGCTGTAAAAATTGAAATAATTACTCAATCACTATGATATTTCGACACAACCTATATGGATAAAACAATTACAAAAATAATAAGTAATTAAGAAATACTCATGTATGATATATTCTGTACCTTTCCCAACCTTGAACTAGGAAGCTCTTCATTGCCTTCTTGTTGCACCATGTCGCACGAACCTGTAGCTGATTCCACATTCTCGGTGCAATTTTCCTGCATCAGAGTTTCCATTTCCAAACTAAAAATACAAATTCGCATTACAATCGACTATATTACATATGCAAGTCTCACTATAAAAGAATCAATTTGCATAAATTGAGTAAATAATAATAAAACTTCACGATTTTATGGATCTAGTAAGTACATTTTCTTTTACTGCACTTATACCTTGAATTATTAACTTCATTTCCTTGTTCAATGTACACCATGTCAGAAGAGTCCATAACGTGTTCCATTTCCTCCGTGCAATCTTCATTCGAGGATAATTCTATTTCAAAACTGAAAATACAAAATACAATGTATATGTCCTTTATAACTGTGTTGTTTTCATATTATATTTGTTACTTTTAATATATAAAAATGTTCATATAGTGATACTCATACAGTCTTTTCACAACATATTTAAAAAATATACAAATGCATTCACACTTCTTACGATGACATATACATTACCTTTTTTTATTCAATACATTTGGAAATATTGATGGCACAGAATTTTTTTTCAGTCGTACTTGGGTGAAACCAAATTGTTCGATGCAAGTGTCATCAAAATGTTGAATACAAATTCTTGCGTGCATCGGCAATTGCAGGACACTTTCTTGATGATTCAGATTGTATATAGCATCCACCCACTTCTGTTTTAACAATGGATTTTTTGGAAATCTGCAAAAATATCAATTTACTCAATTTTATAATATTGCCAGTACTATAGATTCCAAGTTAATATGCACAATGAAAATAATAAATCATATTTTGGAAATAATTACATGGAACATGAAATTAAGTAATAATCGGAATATACTGAATCTCAGTTTACAATTGGTAAAAAAAAGAGTTAGAAATAAACTCACTTGTAAAACGGGAAAACTGGTTTGTTTTCGACATGTTTACGTTTATACCTCGATGATTTGCACCCGTTTATAAAACAATACATATTTTTCAGAATCTTTTATATTATACACGCTCAGGATATTTTATATACACCCAAAAATTATTCTTTGACATGCACCGTTACTTGTACACCATAAACCTTTATCATAAATATGCATATACTATAGTCAAAGCTCCCCACTCCCGCAGAAAATTGGGCTCCGGGGCGGAGCCTAATTTTTCAGCTTGGAGACATGTCTGAAGTTGGCTACTGGCCGTCCAGTTGTACAGGGTCCGGCAAAATGATCTCCCACATTTTGCACCGCTACTGTGCCCGAATCATTGAAGAGAGGGGGAGCTTAGCGTAGTCGGTTGGTAGCTCACGCCTTGCCATTTCAGTTGTCGTCATGAATTGGACGGGTGAGCATCGTGCCTTCGTTATCGAAACATTTTTGAAAAGTAACGAATCTGTGATTACGACGCAAAGAACTTTTCGTACTCACTTCGCGCTTGGTAGACATGCTCCAGTTCCAGATCGCAAAACAATACTGTTGTGGGTTTCAAATTTTAGAGCTACAGGTTCAGCCTTAAAAAGAAAATCAACTGGTAGACCCAGAAGTGTTCGGACACCTGAAAATGTTGCAGCTGTAAGAGAAGCAGTTGAACGATCTCCTAGCCGTTCAGCTGTTAAACATGCCTCTGCTTTGCGTTTGTCAGATCGTTCTGTGAGAAGAATTTTACACGCCGATCTGAAGTTCCACCCATACAAAATGATGATCGTGCAAGAACTTAGTGAACGGGACTGGGAAAATCGCAGAGCATGTTCCAACGATATTCTTCAAAACATCCCACAAAATGCTCTTTTAATAACGAGTGACGAAGCTCATTTCCATCTGTCTGGCTGTGTGAACAAGCAGAATTTTCGCTACTGGGCACCAGACAATCCGCGGCAGCTCCATGAAAGGCCACTTCACAGTCCATTTGTTACCGTTTGGTGTGCTGTTGGATCTTTTGGCGTTTGGGGTCCCTATTTTTTTGAAGAGGGAGGCGTGACGGTTACCGTAACTGCCGATCGATATATCGACATGCTACGCAATTTTTTGGAACCAAAACTTAGAGAACTTGAACATCCGGATGTGTGGTTTCAACAGGATGGAGCTACGGCTCATACGGCAAGAAGGACAATGGACGTTTTAAGGGAAATGTTTCCAGGACGCGTAATCTCGTTACGTGGAGACGTTGGGTGGCCTGCGCGTTCACCCGATCTTGCCCCATGCGACTTTTTCCTTTGGGGCTACCTGAAAGCGAAGGTTTTTCAACACCATCCCCGAACCATTGACGAATTGAAAGCAGCAATACGCCAAGAAATTACAGGAATATCGCCTCAAATTACTGCTCGAGTGATGGAAACTTTCAGAAATCAGCTTCGAATGTGTATCGAAAAAAATGGTCGCCACTTGGACTCTGTAATTTTCAAAACTTAATAAAAACAAATGGCATAGCATACATTTTCAGTTAATAAAAATAAAATCTAAATAGCATTTATAATGGCGTTTTTATTAAAGATTAAAATGTGGGAGATCATTTTGCCGGACCCTGTATATAGTCAAAGACGTGCACTATAGATTTTCAGTGAATTTTGGAACATAGCCAATAGTCGATTCTTATAACGTTTTCGATTGGGAAAAAGTTAGTGCGCACCAGTGCGCACTTAGTTCATACCAACACTGGACGAGTGTTCCATGGGTTGCACTGAATAGTGCAAGTTCAAAAGAACACGCCAAGATTTTCAGTGCTAAAGCTGAAGTGCCATTTCGAGTTGTAATAGCATTTTCGATTGGAAAAAAGTTAGTTAGAAGTGCCATTTTGAATTGTAAGATTGTAAGGACTTGACTAGACTGCAGGAAGAACGCAGAAAAATAACCTCGACACATCTCATGTTCATAACTTTAAGTAATGATTTTTTATTATATATAATTAAATAATTGTTACCACCGACACCTAACATGAAACATGAATGTTACCACCTACATCTAAAAAAAATGAATGGAGTTAGAGAGTCACCTAGCAACGATTGACAGATATCAACGGGGGCATTCAATTGTCTCCCTGCTCCATTGCTTGCAATATAAATACATCTTCTCCTTGTAATCACATCGATAAATATAAACTCTTAATTAAACAAGAGTCTTGTTTTTCTTCTCTTGATAAAAATATAACAATTGGCGACGAGGATCATGGATCTCAAAGAAGCACTCATGTCTCTTCAACAACAACAACAGCAACAGCAGTTATTCGTTCAGCAGCAATTGGAGCATAAACAAGCAGCAATTCCTTATGAAGCAGCAACAAGACTTCATGAATAACATTTCTTCAGTTTGAATTACTTCATCAGGTTCTTCACAAAGGAATGTCAAACTGGAATCCTTGACGAACTCCATGACCGAATTCATATACGATCCAGAAAATAATCTAACATTTGATGCATTGGTATGTTAGATATCAAGGACTATTCCAGATAGACACACAGGAGTTAGATGACGCATCAGACTTTTATTATATAAAATGAACACAATCTCACATAAACAATACATCGATTTTATTTTACCAAAAAAGTATAAAGATTATGATTTCGCAACCACAGTGAATAAACTGACACAATTATTTGGAAGGAAAATATCTCTCTTCCATCAGCGTTTTAATTGCATGAATACAACGAAATCTCAAAATGAAGATTTCATTTCTTAAGCAGCATTTGTTAATAAACGTTGTGAAGAATTCAAAATCTCATCAATCACTTCTGATCTATGGAACTTTTGATTTATGGAACTACAGTCTCAACAGTTTTTGTAACAAGATCCATTCAAAAGCAGGTCAGACTCAATTTGATTTATCTTTACTAAAAGAAACATTTAAAGATGTTTTCTCAAATCAGTTGGGTCAATGTACCAAAACGAAAGTAAAACTGTTTTTGAAACCCAATTCAAAACCAGTTTTCAGACCCAAAAGACCGGTTGCCTATGCAATTTTACCTCAAATTGACGCAGAACTTATGAGACTAGAACATGGAATTATTTCTCAAATCATATATTCAGACTGGGCTACTCCAATAGTTGTTGTCCGAAAGAAAAATGGGAAGATCAGGATTTGTGCAGATTATTCTACCAAACTTAATGAGTCATTAGAACCGAATCGTCATCCACTTCCTTTACCAGATGAAATATTTTCACAACTTTCAAACTGTAAATATTTCAGTCAATTAGATTTATCTGACGCTTTTCTACAAATAGAAATCGATGAAGAATCCAAACATTTATTAACAATCAATACTCATCGAGGTTTATACATCTATGATCGTTTACCTTTCGGAGTCACCACAGCTCCAGGTAAATTCCAATCAATAATGGTGTTACGTCCTGTAGACTCCACGATTCTTTTCTTTCGTGGAAGATCGATCGTTGTCACTCGGATATTATTTATGAAATATAAGTAGTTAATAACAATCTCGGACTGTTTATGGAGAGAGTAATCAAAGAGTAATCTACCCCTTATTTTTCACGACGGATCTAAATATCAACCACGGGATTGAAGGCGATGAAATTCCAGACATAGAGACCACGGTCCATTCAAAACAAAAGATCGCAATAGATTCCTCTTTCGATAGACGAATAAATAATTGAATCAATTCCTAGTAGTAACTCCGTACCCTTGGAGATAAAATCCAACATCGGTAACCGATGCTAATTGAACAAAGACTAGATATCAAGTTGCTACGGAAGTTTAGAAATCATAGATTACACCTTTGAAACTCGAAGAGGAATCTGTTTATCGTCCAATACCGTGGATTCGTAACGGATGACGATCTTTCTTGATATAGTTCTAAGAAGAGATTGCGAATCTAGCGATAAGTTTTACACGAGACAATCAAAGTTTACACTAGCCACCCACTCCTATCCTTGGCGACACCACCCAAAACTGACCAATCCGATGCAAGAAACGGGGCGGATGACTAAAGTCAATTTCACCAATAAGCTCTCGGTGATCTTAAATTTTTTAAACAAAAGAGACCACCAGTACCCTTCTGGGGGCAAATCCCGCCAATCAAAATCTTAATCGGTCAAGCTATTACATCCCATAAGGATCCACCTCCAAAAAGAGTTCTATATAAACCGCGATCTCACGAGCCGAGCATCAGTCAAATAGAGTTGAAAATTGGCAGTAGTAGTCGAGTAGAATTGAGTTCAAGTTACAAAGCAATAACAGTAGAAGGTAGAGTTGAGTTTAAATAATAGAGTTGTGACAGCAGAATCAAGTACAACGCGCTACTTCTCTGCATTTTCCTGAGCCGGTCTCGTACCAACAACACCAACAAATCTCTGGAGGTTATTGATTACGCATTTGAGGCTTCCACGGTTATCTTCTTCGATCAGTATCAATATCAGTGCACCCCTCGCCCTGATGAAGTGAATAGCATGGTTCACGAAACGTTGGCATCTACCATGAAAGAAGACACGGTGATAACCCGCAAACCCTCTAATATAAATCTCAGGAGGGTTCGTCGAAACAAGTGAGTCACATAATCTTATTTTTTTCTTCTTTTTGTGTTTTTTTTCTTTTCTCTTTCTACCCCATCCTTTCATTATTTGCCGTTTAATGCAGAGCCGGGTATAATATCTATAATTTTCATCAATTCAAATCTGGTAGTGGATGACCGACCACGTCGCTCCCGGGTTTCCCGCGCGGCTAACTGCCAACGGAGACAACGGATTAGGGAGGCCCGTCAGCTCCTAGACGAAGCCTATCACAAATTTTTAGCTACCTTGAATAACAGCGATAATATATAAATAATAGTGATAATCATAGTAATACTCTAGACCCAGTCTCAGCCCCTTCTTCCCCTAGCATCCCTCACTCTCTAAATCAACATCCTTGCTCACCTCCAGTTCCTTTCTCTCCACCTGCTTTTTCACCTCCGCTTGCGCTACTCTCCCTTTCACTTCCTTCCCGTTCTCCTTCCCCTGACGCGGAATCCATCTCTCTCTCCTAATTCAACGAATTTTTCCCGACACACTCCCCCTTTCCCGTTCTTCCTCTCCCGTTCTTCCTTTCCTGGAAACGCTCCTGGAGCTCACACAAGGGGCTCTAGGGGTGGTGAAGGAAAGATGTGAGAGGACACGTCTATCGGTGAACCCGAGTAAGACAAGTCTGGTGATCTTTACACACAAGTACAAAATAGACCCCGTGGAGGGGCCCGTATTGAAGGGAGTCAGACTGACTCCTGGAATGTCGGTGAAGTATCTGGGAATTGTCCTGGATAAAAGATTGAACTGGAAGCTGCACCTGGAATCAGTGTGTAAGAAAGCCAGCACATACTTCTGGATGTGCAGAAGAACCTTTGGGCAAACTTGGGGATTGCAGCCAGACAAAGTATTTTGGCTATACTCTTCGGTGTTCCAAGATTGCTCTATGCTGCGGTGGTCTGGTGGCCAAGGACACAGCAAACCGAGGCCCGCGCATCACTGGAACGCGTCAGGGCTCTCTTCTTAAGGGGGGCTCTGGGTACAGTGAGGACAACGCCAGTGGCGGCAATGGGATTGCTGCTCGGCATAGAACCACTCCATCTCGCGATAGTGGCGGCAGCAGCGGTCACTGCGTATAGGTTGAAGTGCGAGGGAAAATGGATGAGCAGTGTGACTCACATCCGGTTACCACGGGAGCTCCAAATGGAAACCGTGTTTGACATGAGGCAGGACAGAATGCCAATAAGGCGCGACTTCGACAGATCTTACAAGATCTATATTCCTAGTCGCGAGGACTGGGAGAGGCATGAGGTGCCCGCTGTTAGGAATGGGGATAGGTCTGGTACACGGATGGCTCCAAGACTGATGAAGGCGCCGGTGCCGGGATCTACGGATGCCGTAGTGGAGTCAGGGAGACTCTCCCTCTTGGAGAGTTCACCACTGTATTCCAATCGGAGGTAGTAGCAATCATGGGCTGTGCTTAAACACTAACCGCATCAGGTGAGACGGGCAGACGCATTAGCATATGCTCCGATAGTAGGGCGGCTCTGGGGGCATACGTCTTTGACTCGTGACTGGTCTGGGAGTGCAAATGTGCTCTAAACAGACTGTCTACTAACTGTTTAGTCTGAACAGACTAGGTAGCAAATACACGTCATTTTGACGTCAAATTCTGGTCATGTTGGTACGAATGACGTCAAGTGACCAAAAATTGACCAACCGATGTTATGACGTCATATTTTGGTCTTCTTTAATTCTCCATTTGGAAACGTCCTAACATGATGTCATTTTGATGTCGTTGCGATAACACATATAATTTGCGAAATTAGAGAGAGAGAGAGAGAGAGAGAGAGGACGTCATTAAGACGTTATTATTAAGACGTCAACAATGATTATTAGAGTAAACAGACATATATATATATATATATAAATACCCAAAGTAGTAATAAATTTGACGTTATTTGTAAATTATTCCCTTGGGAAAATTTACTTAAAGAAAAGTTAAAGTTTTTAAAAGTAACCTTTCAAATGTAAAAGTTAACTTAAAAAATTTTTAAGTGATATAAAGTGATCGAAGCAATTTTAAAGTATTTAAAAACTTATTAAAAAAAATCTTAGACAAATCAAAGATTTTAAAAACTGACTTTAAAATTGTCGTTAGGTACTTTAAAGGATGAAAAAAAATACTTTAAAAGTGCTTTTAAATTTTAAAGTAAGGTTAAGTTGACATAAAGTTTACCCGCAAACACAGTGCGCAGCACCGCCACTAGAGGGACGCGACAATGCTACATTTTCTCGTAAGTAAGATTCATATAGGATAGAATAAAAGGCACAAGAGATTTTTCATTCGTGTTGTTATGAAATAATTTTTTGATGTGGCAAGCCTTCTTATAAGTAAGAAAAGCTTGCTTTGAAATTTAAACATAATTCATATTTTCACAATTATTATCTTAAAAAAAATTTTATAATTGTTAACTTATGTTTTATAATTTTTATGTTCCTTTAGCTTTAGTTACTTCCAGTTCTTTCTTTAAGTAAATTTTAAAGTTACTTTAAAGAAAAATTTAAAGTGTCCAAATTTACTTATCAAATTTTTTAAGTTTTCTCTAAAATAGGTTTTAAGTTTTTTTTTTAAGTTTTGTTAAGTAAATTTTCCCAAGGGTTGTTTTCTATATTTATGTCTTAAATGTTGAGATCTCAACACAGATAGCATGAAGCTGATGGCGTTTGTTATTTTAACGTTGTAACGATCCACCCCGATAAGGCATCGTACCCGGCATTACACCCGCCGGACGCCGCTGCATTGCAGCGATGAGGGCGCGGTGCGCCCGAACCTTTTTAAAAATTCAAACATAATTCACAGGTACCAGCTGACGACGCGCGAAAGCGACTGAACGCCGCCGATCGCAGTATCGGCATACGCCAGGAACACCGATCGGCGAGCGCCCGCGAAGCCTACCGAGGGCTGCCGAACTCGCGGCGTTGATCCCCGCTCGCAACGCGTGTTCCCCACTCGTTTTGTATAGCCGGTGGGAAAGCGCGCCCGGAACAAAACGAGTGGGAGCAACAAACGAGTATAAAAGCCGGGAATTGTTAACCACGAGAGCTTTTTCTCGGCATCAAGCTCATAACCACGTATCCGCTCCAGCTCCTGTTCCTAGCAAAACCGACGGCACTAAGAGAAACGAGGGGTCAAGCGTTCTTGGTCTCTCTTGGAGAGTTCTCCAAATAGTATCGATCGGATCCTGCACGCGCACTCGGATCAACCGACGACCAGCGGGTAGAGAGAGGTTCTCTGCCTCCCTCCGGACGTTCCCGGACGTCAGGACGACCGACGCACATTGCATTACCGATCCTTGTTTCGACCGGCCGAGACAACAGGGGTGGAGAGTTCTTCGCCTCTGGTCAGGAGTTCCTGACGGCCGGCCGAACCTTCAATATTCGAATCCCGGCCGCGCACCTACCGCACCGGTACTCGCGGTTCGCGACAGCACGCCAGCACCGCGCCGCGTTTGGCTGGCGGCCGCGCCGCGCTAGCATCCGCGAATCATGCTCCGCCGTGAGAGTACTAGGGCGCGCCACTGCACGGACACGAAATCCGCCAGGCGCGCATTATAATCACGCTGCATTTGTATTCCGGCCGCATGTATCATAGTCCGATTCGCGCTATTCCTGTATTGCGTTTATATTCCAGCCGCGTGTATATATTCCGCTTTGCGTCGTTATATTTTGCGTTCATATTTCTTTCTATTATTGTTTGTTATTACACGTATTATGTGCATGTCCGTTTTTTTTGATTGAATAAATGTTAATTTCGTAATTACCTGCCCGCGTAAGATTACTGTAAGTGCCTTCCTTCTCCGATACGAACCTCTCGCGTTCCCGACCGAATTCACCGACGAGCTACATCCGCGCAACGGGAGTTAGGTTGTTTCAACGTCAAAAGACGTCATTTTGATATCAACTTGTTACCGAGACACCTAAATTAATTTGTTGCTTGGAAACGTCCTAACATGACGTCAAAATGACGTCCTTGCAATGCCGTCAATAATTTTGTGACATTAGAACGTCATTATGACGTCATTAAGACGTCATTTAGTGACGTCAGCCATGGTCAGTAAATGACCATCAAAATTTGACGTCAAAATGACGTGTATTTGCTACTTGGGTCGGGAATCAGAGGTAATGAGATTACTGATGAGCTGGCAAGAAGTGGCTCATCAACCAGGCTGATGGGACCGGAACCAGCTCTAGGTTTGCCCAGCTAAATCTGCAGGGCAAAAATAAAGGGCTGGTTACGGGACCGTCATATCAAATATTGGAAGGAAGAGACAAGAACCAAATGCAGGCAGACAAGAGCCCTGCTGGGAGAGATGCCCAGCAGGGACCTTGTCAGGAACATTAGGGCCTTGAAGAGAGGGGAAGCCAGGCTGGCGGTGCAGATCTACACGGGCCATGGCTTCACTAACTACCACATGCACAAACTGAGGCACATTGATAACCCGAGGTTCAGGAAGTGCGAACATGAGGAAGAAACCTCTCTCCACGCTGTGTGAATGCCCAGCGCATGCAGGACAAAGGCGGCTTCTTCTGGGCTCGGTATTTCTCGAGCCCGAGCAGGTATGTCAACTCCAGGTCAGGGACCTTCTCCGTTTCTGGAGGAAGACAGGTCTGATCTGATCTGGAGATAGTACGGCCGGGAAGACACAATGGACCTAGTCTGCGTGTCGTTGGCTGGCCCCAACTGGTGGCTGCCTCCCGAGATTATTATTATTATTATTATTATACTTCCGACGATATTCGCCTCGAAAGAAAAATTCCGTTTTTTTTCAAAGGAATGTTTCACCCCTTAAACATGAGTTAGCGCACGTATAAAAAAATATGTGTCTCTCTTAGATTTTCGCGTTTTACAATATATTTCATGGAGAATCAAATCGGTTCCGGACAGTTGTGAAACTTCCTTTGTCAGATCAATTATCTCGGGTATATCATCGATGGTCAAGGATTACATCCAGATTCTAAAAAAATTGAAGCAATCAAAAACATGCCTGAACCTTATAATGTAACCACATTACGTTCTTTTCTAGTAGCAATTAATTATTATTCACGCTTCATTTCAAATATGCATGTTCTTAGACGTCCTTTGGATAATCTTTTAAAAAAAGATTCTAAATGGAATTGGTCTTCAAAGTGTCAAGAATTTTTTGATCAATTTAAAAGAATTCTTACTTCAAAGCTCTTACTTACTCATGACAATCCTCAACACGAGATTATTGTAGCAGCAGACGCTTCAAATGAAGGATTAGGAGCATGTATTCTTCATAGGTTTTCGGACTTTACAGTTAAGGCAATCAGTCATGCCTCAAGAAGCCTCACTGAAGCAGAACGTAAATACAGTCAAATCGAAAAAGAGGCATTAGCAATTATTTTTGCAATCACCAAGTTTCACAGAATGATTTTCGGAAGACAATTCATTCTTCAAACTGATCGCAAACCTTTACTTCAAATTTTTGGAAGCAAAAAAGGAATTCCAGCTTATACAGCTAACCGTCTTCAGCGATGGACACTTCAATTATTATCTTATAATTTTAAGATCGAGTATATCAAGACGAACGAATTTGGACACGCGGATGTTTTATCAAGATTAATTAGTCATCAACATCGTCCGAAAGAAGATTTCATAATTGTTTCCGTTTAATTGGAAACAGATTTGTTTTCAGTCATCAATGAATCACTTCAATCATTACCAATTTCTTTTCAGCAAATCAAAAATGCAACCAAAGAAGATGTTATCTTAAAAAAGGTTATTAACTTTATCTTAAATTCATGGCCACAGAATGTCGATGAAACGGATTGACAATCATTTTTTCGTCGTCGAAACTCATTAACCGTGGTTCAAGAATGTCTTCTTTTCAACGACAGAGTTGTAATTCCTAACCAATTCTGTCAACAAATTCTCAAACAAATTCATAAGGGTCATCCCGGAATGGAGCGAATGAAAATCATAGCTCGTTCGTACGTCTATTGGCCCAAGATAGATCAAGAAATAGAAGAATTTGTTCGAAATTGCAAGAATTGTGCACTTGCCGCGAAATCACCAATTAAAATACCTTTATCAAGCTGGTCTCTTCCTGGAAAACCATGACAAACAGTTTTAGATTTCGCAGGTCTTATAAACAGAGAATATTATTTCATTCTGATTGATGTCTTTTCAAAATGGCCTGAGATAATTCTGACCCAAGCAATTACATCTCAGCAAACAATTAATATTCTCCAAGAAATTTTTGCACGATTTGGTGTTCCTGAAACTTTAGTTTCTGATAATGGAACTCAATTCACTTCGGAAAAATTTCAGAATTTTTCTCTTTCTCAGGGAATCACTCATCTCCGTACTCCTCCTTTTCATCCAAGTTCTAATGGACAAGCGGAACGTTTCGTCGACACCTTCAAGCGATCACTTTCAAAAATCGAAGCAAAGGGGAAAGTCAAGGAACATCTTTGGATCTTTCTTCAATATTATAGGTCAACTCCAAATCCTAATGTTCCAAATCATGTCTCCCCAGCTGAAGCTTTGTTTGGAAAATCAATGTGGACGACTTTAGATCTTTTTAGGCCCACAGAGAATTTGACTCTTCAACTTAAGAAGTCAGACAAATCTCTATCTAAACAAAAGCAAGAGGAACAGTACAATCGGAGACATGGAGTGAAATCCAAGATTTTTGAACCAGGAATGAAAGTTTACGTTCAAATTCACACTTACAATAAATGGTCTTGGATTCTTGGAGAAATAATCGAAAAAGTTGGAAGAGTTATCTACAACATTTTGGTCAATACCCGAAGTCGATTGGTTTGAGCTCATGCAAATCAAATTAGAATTCGATTTACCGAAGACATTGACGACTCACTTCAACAAGAAAAAAATCAACTACCACTTGAGATACTATTAAATACTTTTGATGAAGAAGAAAGACAAGCAACAGATTCTCAAGAAATTTCCACTGGAATTTCTTCTACATTTCAACAAGCGGATTCTCAAGAAATTTCCACTTCTTCTCAAAAATCGTCCGGAAATCAAACTCAAGATTTTGGAACGCATTCGCAAGAGTCTCAGGATCAAGGACAAGAATCTCAACATTCACATTCAGTGGTTAGACGATCTCAGCGCCATTGACGCAGTCCACCGAAACTTAAAGACTATCAGCATTCCATCTTTAAAAAGGAAAGGTGTTACCACCGACACATAACATGAAACATGAATGTTGCCACCTACATCTAAAAACATGAATAGAGTTAGAGAGTCACCTAGCAACGATTGACAGATATCAACTGGGGCATTCAATTGTCTCCCTGCTCCATTGCTTGCAATATACATCTTCTCCTTGTAATCATATCGATAAATATAAACTCTTAATTAAACAAGAGTCTTGTTTTTCTTTTCTTGGTAAAACCATAACAATAATATATAAGATATCAAGAATATCATATATATATTATATATATGTACATACTTATCAATAATTGTACACATTTGCATGCTATAAATTACAGATTTGCTTGTTTCTACTGTAAATCCTTTTATACTGTGACAAAACGATGCACTGATATCCTATATATGTATCCAGTGCACTGAACTGGCACCGTCAAAATATCTCGTGCCACTTAGTGCGTACTGAGTGCGCATTACGCGAGTGTCGTGCGGTCAAATGAATTTGTGACACTAGCCAAGTGCGCATTGGCACTGCCAATCGAACACGCTTTTGACACTGAGTGCAGGCACTGCACCCCAATCGAAAACGATATTTTTTTATTATATTCATGAGGTTTGTTCGCGTCGCAAGCTTCAACATGCTCCAACATGCTCCTACCATATAGCTTCTACTCACTCTATCAAGCGCATTAGAGTGAATATGGCGCGGTCTCATGGTGCGGAACGTATACCACAGTATATACAGTAGCGCCACTCTCACGATTTCACCGTGGATAAAAATGAACTACACATGCGCAAGCGAGGTATATAACCAATCAGGGCACTGATATTCCATCTCGCTTCTTCTCTTATTGTCGCTATCTGTCAGCACCGTTGAAATGTCCATATAAGGGATTTAAATAGCCATTTAACGGAAAGTGACAGGAGTATATATTATATGAGAAATAATAAAGTGATACGTGCGATAAAGTGATTAAGTGGTTAAGTGATGTGTTTAGTTATAAGTATTCAGTGAATACTTATAACTAAAAAAAGTTTAGTGTTCAATAATGTGCTTAGACTCGACGTATCTAGGAAGCAAAAAAAACCAGATAAAGGCCGAATTTCTTTACGGAGAATACGCATTTGAGGCTTCCACGGTTATCTTCTTCGATTATATTAGAGGGTTTGCGGGTTATCACCGTGTCTTCTTTCATGGTCAATGCCAACGTTTCGTGAACCATCCTGTTCACTTCATCAGGGCGAGGGGTGCACTGATACTGAGCTACTTCCCCGGGGGACTCCCTTTTTATAGGTAAAACGCTGTCGGGAGGGGAGGGGGATTTT